TTCAATCCATTTCAATCTATTCTCATTGACTGGAAAGCTCAGATCATCAAGCGAGTAGGCATGCCATATTTTTATATTTGTAAATGGTTTTTGCATGTTATTTAATAAAAGATACATAACTTTTTTATATCAACAAAATTAATAAATATAATATTTTGTAAAATACTTCAATCTCGCAAAATAATAGAACTGTTCCAAGTATTACGGATTTAAATATTCAATAGATGTATGTATGTAAAACATAATAAGGCATTTATTTGACTATCCATGGGAGTGCCCTAAATAGTCTCTGGATTATAATAAAAAAGTAGTCCCTGTAATATGAATCACTCAGTATTAAATTCATAATTGCGTTCATCAATTTTTATTTTAAAATTTACTAAGTTCTTTGTAATCTTAACGTTTCATATTGAATTGTTAAGATCATAATGAAATCTTAATAAAATAATGCTAAAAATGGGTCAACTGATACAAATTTCATTATGCCCATAATTTAGTAATATTTCGTTATATTATTCATTACAACTTCAAAAAATTTCCATCATCAGGCAGATAAAAATAAAAACAAAAAAATCATAATATATTTTACATTCTGTTTAAACGTGAATCTGAAGTCATATGGCTAGTGAACATTTACACATGCGTAAAAGTAACGAAGAACGCGCGTTCGTTAGAAAAATCGCGCGATCTAGAAGTGTATTCTGTTTCATAACATATGATTTATCTTCATTTAACATTCGGTGAACAAGGATAAAAGATGCATAAACGACACGAACAAGTACTGCATGAAACAAAATGCATCTGATATTATTTTATTTTTTATTCACAAATGTTAAACAAGGATAACATGAGCCTTGGAAGCGCTCGGGTGGAAATTTGAACGCGTCCCTTAGGATTACAGGTTTAAATCACCTGACATTTAAAAATTTGAAAGTATCAAATTTACTCTTTAAATCTCGTGGAGTGAAGTCTCACTCAAAGAGATTGACAGTTGAGTCAATCTTGAAAAAAGAGTGAAAATACTATCATTCTTGTTCAAGAGTGACAATTTTCACATGTTTTTTCATTTCACAAAATTTAGAGAGTATTGTTACTTCTTTTCCGCGTTCCCGCTTGATACTCTCAAATCGCTTATTTCATGAAAAATTTTATTTTTAGTTTCATTTTTACACAATATTCTTTCCTACGTTTCCTTACTTAAAATTGAAAATTGATATTGTCAATATTTTTGTTTTATTTTATAGTGTTGTACAGCTAGTTTGAAAAAGTATCATTGAACAAAAATTAACGAAAGAGTATTTGAAAAACTTTCTAAGAGACTTTCTTAGATCTTCTAAGATTAAAAATGTTTTTTAAATTGATGTGAAGACTCTTTTTACAATGACATCGAATTTCTTATGTAAAAACTCATTTTTACAAGATGATTTTTTTCAAAATTGTAAAGTTTAGAAAAAGAAAAAATTTGTTGTCTATTCGCATAAACTTTTTCAAAAAATTTAATAATTCCTTTTTAACTTTTCATAAATTGCGATTAACTGGAGAACTCCTATTATCGACGATTAGTACATCATTATATCAGACGAATGAGATAATTCCGGTCATTTTTAAATATTTCAATGCGAAATATTCAGAAATCGTTAAATTCCATTCAATTGACGAACTAAACATGACAGCCGCAAGAGCATCACACACAAAAGATGACTTGCATTTAAAAAAGAAAAAATAGTTTTATTTCTATACCGTATTCTTTCCAAAACAGCGTTATATATGTATATTAATGCATCATAAAAATATTATTCTAACAATTTTTGTCTAAACGTAAACTGATTCGTGCTCAGGAGCACATCATTCACCACGCTATCTATTGACTCCTTTTTTTTTATGTACATCTACTTATCTTAATTTGTTAATGTATTATTTAATTATCTATAATTGTCCCTCGCCCAAGACGCATTTTTGTATATCTGAACTTAACATAACGTAATGTCATTTGCTAAGTTAACATTGTTTTTTCCGAGTGGCATTTAATGATTATTATTATTGTTTTCGTTATTATACTTGGATTAATTTCGTTACACGAAAATAACTGTATTCCCCTCTTCTCGTTCAGTCCCTTTATAAGAATTGGAATTCTCACGAAAGTTTCTGTTGCTTTCTTGGTACGAAATAGACTACAATCTCGCGTTCATTGACCTTTTAGGCCGGCACAGTTCGTTCTTAATCTCAACACCGGCTCAAGTAATGTCTAGAAGACGCTAATACGGCTGTCTGATTGTCTGATAACATCTTAAGCATCACCTTGAAGCTTGAGCAACGTCTATTGATTCCGTCGTTAGGCTCAGTTTCACAATTTATTTCTCACCTCTTTCGAATTCTAGAATTTGGTTAATAGGTAACAATGAGTTGTGAAATTGAATCTTAACCGTTAAACTATGAATTTATTGGATTATCTAGGAAACCCTTAAATCTCAGCTACTCCGATCAACACTTTGTGCCTTAAGATTCGCAAATATTCAGAACTTGATTTTTTTTTTTAATTCCTCAAATCGCCTTGGAGTCTCGTTTATATAGATCTTTTATAATCGTTGAACCTGCCATTCAATTATATTAATTAACTTTAGATCAAACTCAAGATCGCGCAATGAGAAAGATACAGAAACTCTCGTAACGCGCGTGCGCCGACTCAATGTTACAATAATCTTATAAAAACGGAATTATAATCTATAACAATCTAATATTACAAGTGAAAATCTTATAGTACAACACATCGCATTTATGCGCGCATCGATTTATATACGATAATTAATACATTGGTCAGTTTAAATCTATAAAAAGATATAGTCTTTGTATAATTATCTTTATCAGGCAGAATAATCTTCATATACAAAGTGGCTCGATATAATTGACTCTTCCAAACGTTCTCTAACCGATCGAAGCAATGCGGAAAAGCACAAATCACTCGATGAATTTTTTGACAGAAACAGTCAATTAATCCATTTTTTTTCACATTTCTTTTTCGCTTCTATGAAACTTCTAAACGAATTAATCACTATTTATAGTACGATATCTGATCTTAACAAATTTTAACAAGTACAGAGATAATCGCTATTATTCATGTTCTTGCACACATTCATATAAAGATAATTTCTACAAAATAAGTTTCAAAAGTACTATTTATAGACCATCTTCAATTCTTAATTTAAGCTACGTGTTGTTACCGAAAAGGCAGAGGTACAATATTGGAATTTCCCAAGATCTTTATTTTTTGTTTTGTAAAAGAAAAGTAAATATAAAGAAACAACTTAGAGATATTGAGAAAATACAATATTGCATTTCTGCCTTTTTGGCAACAACGCATAGCTTAAATTAAGAATCAAATGTTCCATAAAAAGTGCTTCCGAAACTCATTTTGTAGGAATTATCTTTATACGAGTGTGTGAGAGAATTGAGCATGAATAATAACGATTATTATCTCTCTATATATGCAATGTGTTGTACAAAAACTATATTTTATTATAGATTTAAAATGACCGATGTATTATTTTTTACTGAATATGTGAAGTGTCTGTAAATGAAATAGTGAAAAGGAAATAATCACGATGTAATTTATTCAATTGTCATTTGTTATTCATTTCTAAATTCCTTGAAATGATTACTGAAACATACTTTCGATTATTGATACATCACAACTGAAACATTTAAGCCATAAACAAGTCAAAATTCGTTTGGAAGTCTCATCTTAAACATCTTTGATAAACGCGCCTAAATTTATACACCATAGGTTATCATAATTTAATAGCTATTGTTTAGAAATTATCAATCGTTCGGTGATCCAAGTCGCACTGCTTCGAACGGATCCGCATAAGCTCTTAGCAAATCTTCGGAAGCGAAGAATAAACACCGCATCAGTCACAGGACTAGCCTTTGCAGGTCTCTCATCTCGAGTACAATGAAATCAGACGTTAGATTGCACCACTCACAATTGAATCACGATTCCTACATGCACCGCACAGTTCCTTGTTTTTTCTTTCCTTTGTGATAAATACGGTGCTAAATCTCTGGATTGAATTTAATTCACTTGCAAAGTCAGAACAGAATATCTTTTTAGGCAGTCGTTACGAATCAACGATGAGTCTCTCAAAAGATCTCTAATGAGAATTGAAGACAATAGGCCGAACTCTACTACACGGATGGATATATGAATAAAAGAGTTTCAGTTTGGAATCCTAAATATTGGTAGAAGTTAACTAAGATTTCAGAAATCGCGATTTCAGTCGTTGAAAATAGACGGAAGATTAAGGACATCCAATCAATTGACTTTAAGTAATATGTGCGACATACCTAATAACGGCAGGATGTCAGATGTCTTCTCGCGAAATGTTTAGTCTTGGTTGCGCGATTGGTCCTCTCTCTTTCGTAAATAATTAAAAAAAGAAAGAAAAAAGATCGCCTAGCAAAATTCTATACGTCTGTATAAAAATTGGGCAAAAAATCATGCATGGTCATGACTTCCATTCGCCCGTTCTCTCTCTCTCTCTCTCTCTCTCTCTCTCTCTCTCCTTCCTCCCTCCCTCCCTTCCCCTTCCTCTTTCTCTCTTTATCAATATCTCTTTCTCTCTTTTGCTACAAAACAACGCTATCAGAAAATAAATACATATATGTCGCGTTCCTCTAAATTTATAGTGCTAAGAAAGGCACTTGCTATTTCTCTTCTTTCTTTCTCGTTTTTCCGTGGCAGAGATAATTTTATTATCATTTTTATCGGGCATGAGAATTCTGCAGCATCAGTTTGATCTTCTCGTACGCGTACAATAGATTGTCAGCCAATCCTTTACAGCAACCATTTTCCTGAATGGTCTGGAATCTGTAAGTCTTAAAGTTCTTGTCGTGATCGATATAGGTAACTGCCGTCATCAATGGACACATAATGATCTTTGCATGATCCAGGAAGTTGATCTGAGAAGTAAATAAAGTTTTATTTATATCGGAGCAAGAGCAACATATAAATAACAATATTTATAAGGTAACAATAATAAGTCTTCTCGGTGAGAAGACATAATTTACATTTAATAGTATACTTGTTTTAAAGTATATTAAAATAGATAAAAATTATGAAAAATTTCGAAAATATAAAAATAAGATAAAAATAAATTATCACATTATATTACTTTTAATAAGTGTACCAGATAATAATAATAACTATATAGAGAGTGATGCATGACTTCATGTAGATGAGATTAATTTGTAAAGTATTGAGTTTGATCCTTATTTTGATTCCTCTAATATGTTTTAGAGAAAACTAAAAAAAATAAAGATTTAGAGTAAAAATGTTGAGATTATAATTCATTTCAATAACAATAAACATGTATACATACATAGTCATCATTCTCTCAATAGTTGTTATCTGATGCATTCATAATTTGCCAATTAATCATTTTTATTTTATCTTTTTACATGTATATGTATATACATACACACGCATATATTTAAAGATAATCGATTAATTAACACTTACTTGCACTGTGCCATTGGTCAGTTGCATTACCACAGCTGTCTGAGTTCTAAACCACTGGTGTATGTAAGGTATTCTAGAGAGAGAGTCACTTTGTTTCACTGCGATAGAGCCACCCGCCTTCATCAGGTGCTCATTCATGTATTTCATAAAGAAGTTCATCAGTTTCATTTTCTTTTCGAGATTAATGGGACAATCCTTAACCGTGTAGTACAACTCCTCGCCCTCGCGATTGATATAATGAATATTGTAACCATTCGCCATCATAATCAACCGCGTGCCGTCATTGTACATCACGCCGACGCTATCATCAGACAACTGATATCCGAAACCATACTTATCCGAGTAGTCTACCCACTTACTGATCCAAATCACAGGTTGCGCTGCCGGATCAGTCAATTCATCTGCAAATTTTCAAAGATTTTTATAACAATTTTATATTTTAAATACAATAACACTAAATATAAGAACTATATTCAATTCCAGTCATTATTTGCATTGTGATATTTCATTAAGAAATATATAAAAAAATATATGTAAAATAAGTTTATAGATATTTATGTAATTTGTGCATATATATATATATATATATATATATATCGCTCATTTGTCAAAACGACATAATTCAAAAAATCAAAGTTTTCTAAAAAATAAGTTTGTTTTCTATCATTAAAGTGTGTGTATGTTTTGTAATATTATTTGTAAATTTATTCATAATCATAATAATTGATCCTATAGGATAAAGTATATTAAGTCTTTTCACTAAAATTGCTTAATAAGAATTGAGATGAGACATTGTTAAAGCAAAATAATTGACAAAATATGATAATAAAATATTAAAATAATTACTTTTTTATAATGATTTCTAATTGTAGCTAAAATTATGAAATATACAAAATTTTTAGACATAAATTTTTTATGATTTTTCCCATTAAGAATGTTAATTTTGGTGAGAAAAAGGATGCACGTTAAATATTATTACATTTATTATTTTAAGATTATTTATTATTTCTATTTTATCAAAAATTATTATATTAAGCTATAATATAACAAGCTATAAAATTTTTTAACATACCTGCTGAAGAAATTGTCTCCCTAGCAGGCTTACTTTTCAACACGATACCTATCTGCTCTTTCAACGTCTGAAGCATCGTCCTGATATCGAGATTGACTCTCTGTGGCTCATTAGTAATTTCATTAGATTTAATTTTTCGTGATGGACTGTTCGGCACTCGGCAGGAAAGGATCTCTTGCTCCGTGTAACCGTTGAGGTTCATCTCACCGAGTGGTCTACGATTGCAGTGTGATTCGAGCATATCCAAACGTGGTGCCATTGTCAGACATGAAAGCGGCAAACTCGTTGGCATGTATCCTGTAATTTTTGAATAAGAAAATTATTTTATTTTATTTTCATTGGCAAATAATAAGGAAGAAAATTTAAAAATTATTCAATATTGCAATTTACTCTAAGAGAGAAATTAAGAGAAATTTGACAGAAATCAACTTAAATTTCTCTAATCTAATTTAAATTAATTTAAAGTAACGACTTTAATAGAAATGACAAAAGCTTTATAATTAAATCAATAATAATTAGATAAAAGCCAACGCAGGATATTTTTTGCATAATCAATTTTACAATTTTATATCCTATATTAATACAGGTGCTTACATCGTTAGCTTGTCAATTTAATTCTTTAGAAATTGATCATTACAAGTCTTCACATATCATTATCTCAATTTTTATCATTATTGGTGCAATCCTATCACATATCAAATCTCATTTGAATGTCTGCCATATTGTAATCGCAAATAACGGAATTTTTTTTAAATTGCTAACCATGATGTTTTTAGAAAACACAAAAGTCCTGTGTATTAATCATGATTATCAAAAATTCTTCAAATTTACTTTGTCAGCAAGTAATAAAGCACGGACACCAAATAGAAATAACAATATTTAAATAATGTATTTTTTTTTTAATTTTAATTAAATATTGATGACTTTTTTTAAATATTAAAGTCAAAATGTCTATGTTATTATTATAAAATATGAAATTATAAAGTTATGTACATAAAAAATATCTTACGCTGGCTTTCTCATGCTTCTAATTATTACAATTTAAATTACAGAAAATTAATGTTATAATAAAAAATAATATAATTTATGTTATCACACAAACACATCATTAAGGTCTGTTACATAATTGACAAAATTACATTACAAAAACTTTAATTTTAATTAAAATACTGATGTCTTACCAGAAGTAAAAAATGTGTCTCTCATTAGTCTAGCGACGGATGGACGTTTTGAAGGATTCAATTGTAACATGTTTGCCACCATATTCATGGCAGGTTTACTAATATGTTGCGGTGTCTTGTACTGCACTTGTTTAATCCTTGAATATGTCTCCTTCAGGCTTGACGTCTCGAAAGGCGGCTTGCCCACAAGTAGGGTATACATTATGCAACCAATACTCCATATATCAGCTTCGTAAGAATGCCCAATTTTCGTGAGCACTTCTGGAGCAATGTAATTTGGAGTACCACAAACAGTTCTGTTGAAAAATTCACCAGTCAAATCATATAATAAAATTTTGTGTAATTATGATGAAATTATTTTTTTAGCAGAATAAAAATCTCATTAAAATATGTTTGAGTGTACATTAGTAATTTACTAATATTCATTTAATTAAAAAAATAATTGAATTTAAACATATAGAAAATAATAAAATAAAATTTACAAATAAAATATAATTTAATTTCTCCAAATTTAGTGTTAATAAAATTATTTATAGCAACAAATAGAGAAGATCATAACTGATGTATTTAAATAATAATTACTTTTTCCGTTCACCGTCGTGCACCAATTTGGCCGCCAATCCGAAATCACCGATCTTGACTTGCAAATCGTCATTCAAAAACAAATTGCCTAATTTTAAATCCCTGTGAATTATTTTGTTTTGATGCAGATAAAAAACTCCATCTAAAATTTGCTTCATAAAGTATCGTGTTTCGCATTCCGACAGCGCTTTCCTGCGCTTGTGCAGTTCCATCATCGACTACAACATTAAACAATTATAAAACTGTCATAATTGGCACTTGATACTTGCAAAATAGATACTGTTATAAATGATTACCCTCTTGCGACAGAGTTCCAGGATGATGTAAATATTTTTGTTATCGTCGAAGAAACCGTGAAAGCCAACGATGTGCCTGTGATTCAAGCTCTGGTGAATCGCAATCTCTTGTGTCATTTTCTCTCTTTGATTGTGTTTCGCCATCAGTGACATTGGCACGATTTTCCCCGCGAATACCTGGTGAGACTTTGACTCTGTGATTTCGTAACATTTTGCAAATCCACCCTATAAAATAATGGACATAAAATCAAACAAAGAAAAGAAAAATTATAAAAATTATAAAAAAAAAGAAAAAAGTAAATTTCTTTTTTAAAAGAAAAAACTAATATTTTAATTATAAAAATAATTTTCTACACGTAATTGTATTTTAATGATTTCTGAGTAATCCATATATATGTATATTTAATGTTTATTTTTTAAAATTTACAGCTCAAAGAAATCACAAGATAAAATTACTATTCACTTATGCCACGTATTTTAATATACATGTATATATAATTTAACATATATTCTATATATATATATATATATACTAATTTGAAACTAAAAAAAGAAAATTATACAAGAGATTGCAACTCTTAAGTTAATAACTCGTTAACCATTGCGACAATTGTAAAAT